ACAGTGCTCTACCGCCAGAACAGGGAGAAACGTGGCTTTTCCTGTAGCGCCACCCGAGGTTCACGGCCTCGGACAATGGACGAAGTCGTGCCAGGTCCAGGGGCCTATGCCGGCGATCTCGTCGTGCAAGAATTGGAGGAGTCCGCGAGCACTAAGTCTTCATCGAGTACCTCTGCCTCTGTGTCGACGCACGTTGCCCCGCGTGGCCGAGGCCCCTTTGCATCTCGAACGCCAAGGCTGGTGCACGCTTCCAAGCAGCACGGCTATGTGCCACCAGGGCCGGGCACATACCTCATGCGAGACGTGCAAAGGGACTCCTCGCCCACAGCAGCCTTCTCGCTACCAGGCCCAGGCAACCCCGCCAAGTTCAATGCGGTCGAGACGCAGCCTGGCCCTGCAAGCTACCTGGGCCCCGACGATGCCGTGCCGCCCATCGGTTGCCAGGGTGCGCGGGCTGTCTTCGGCAGCAGCCCACGCTCTGCGCAGCAGGTGCTGGATCTCGACCTCCCTGGCCCTGGGCAATATGACCAGATAGATGCAGAGGAAAGGTTGAGAAGCACTCGAAAGCCCAGCCAAAAGCAGTTAAGCCCCAGGCATGAGCCGGTGGCAGATCTGGAAACACTTCAGCTGAAGCGAGGAGCCGACATGCTGAAGAGCACCTGTCCACCGGACATGGGCTCTCCTGGCCCCGGCAAGTACACTCCGAGGCTCGATGCCATCAAGGGCCCCAAGCAGTTTAACGCCCGGGGGCACAGCTCCTTTCACCTTGGCAACTCGCACCTTCCCAGGACCGGGGTTGACTTGAACTGAGTTCCTTCCAGCTTTGGAGAGTAATTATGCTTCTTGGAACCAGGACGTGGCGGCCGCCCGAGCCGGGGCCCAGCGACTACGACCCTGCCATCGGCGACACCAGGCCGCGCCATGCGCCCTGGCCGCTCAGCACCTTGGCCTCGAGCTCGGAGCGCTTCTCGAAGCTGGGGACCCTCGGTCATATTCGCAGCTCCCGACATCTGCCCTCGCGATGCTGGTGTTACTGGTGTTCAATGGTGTTCAGGCTGTTCAGGAACCTCCCCAGTAGATCCGCGCAGCTTGAAACAACTCCTTTCTAGGTCCTAGGCACAATCTGGGCGGAGGATCTCAAAGTGACTGGGAGAGCGAGTTCAACTTCAACCAACGACATACATACATGTGCTTGCGTGTAAGCTCCACAATTTTCCACACCAGCACTGGTGCACAAGATCATGGGCATCCCTTTGCACAGACCCAAGGAGCACTGGGGCCTCGGTGAACTCTACGGGCTGTGACTCACCGACGTACTTGCAAGTAGTGGATCACAGAGCTTGTTGCCTTGTCTTCTCTTGGACATACAAAAGACCAATCAGTTAGCTTGTGGATGAAGTTAAACTAGCGATAGAGAGAGAAACGAAAACAGGCAGCGTAGACCCAAACAGTGAGAGACCATGGACATGAAAAAGCATTCCCATGAATGAAACACACTAGCACGTTCGAAACAGATAACCGCGCTGGGCGAACACAGATGTCCAACAGCGAGGACAGCTTCGCGAGACCACCAAGAGTAGCAACATTTTCGTCCCAAACCGACGCCAGTTTTTGCATTTAGTCAAAGCAAACGTCCAAGAGCGGTGACAGTTTCCCACCCGGCGAAATCCGATGTCCAAACGCGACGACAGTTTCGCATTTGGCGAATGCGAACGTCCGACAGTCTCGAATTTGACGAACACAGTCGTCTAAAAGCGAGATGTCAAAGACAAGTTGGAGGACAGCGGGCCACGCCCTCGCCTCCTGAGGCGAGAGCGAAGATTTTGTCGAGTAGTTTCGCGAAAAACTCATGGTCCAGGCAGTGTGCGCCGGCCGCGACCTGCCTCCTCTTCCTCCTCACGTTGGAACCCCTAAATGTTGACACATTGTTTGAGGAATAAGAAAGCTATAGTCGAAAAAGAGAATGCGATTTATGAAGTGTTGACAATTATCAAGTTTGTAAATAAGAAAGAGCCACGAAATGCAAATAGATGTAGTAGCACACACCCTGTTCTGGCATACATCAGTTTACACATGTACATACGCACGCATAGACACACGGCCACATGAAACACACATACGCTGGTGCATCCACGCTGCACCATAGCAAACATCCAACACTGGTTTAGAACTGCCAAGTTATCTGTCGCCAGCTACTGTGCCGCACCTGAGTCACCACCTATGATGATGATGATGATGATGGTGATGATGATGGCGGCTGCATGATCCAGGCACCTTACTCTCAACGGCGATGAGCACCTGCTAGCAGTTCATCTCATGATCATGATGGCGGCGATGAGCCTGTGTGATCCGCGCACATGACTCCCGATCGAGGTTCGTCTGCAACTCGCAATGCCTACATCGAGTGAGACAGAGTAAAGTGCAGGTACCTGGAACCGACTTCAACAGCTTTGATTTTTGACGCATCGTCGGCTCGCGTGCTGACTAGGCTCCGCAAGCCCCCTACTTGAAATGACCTCGATTTCCTGATGGCGCGCGCAAAATCGCCTACATGTGACCGGTGACCATACGTTTCTTTCGTTCTCATATTGCCTTCGTTCCGTTTTTAGTTACTTCATGTCCTTCGCTTCACGAACTGAGCGGCGCCACAAAGCAAGGGCCTCACGAGCTGTGGGAAGCAGCAGCAGCATCTACTCGTAAGTTTTTCCACGCCCGCGTGAAAAAGCGTGAGATTCAAATGGTTGGTTAGTACAATCTCTAAGGAAGTTCTCTTTGCGTTTCACGTTTCAACCATCTCCAGAGCCCAGGACTGGGGCACCGGGCCCGGCATTCTACAACCCCAAGCCGGAGCCGGGTGCGGTGTCGTTCCACCTCAACCTGCAGCAGACCTGGGTCTGAGTCCGGAGTTTCGCGGTCCCAAAAATGTCCTGGAAACCCAAGCCGCCCCGGTCATCATACTCCAACCTTCCTGACAAAGGGTGCAACGGGCTGGGGCTCATGGTAGGGGATTGGAGGTTTGCTTTCTTTGTTGGCTGTGTGCAGCTTACGGGCATTCGACAATTGTATCACAAGCAGTGAGGTTTCACCCTTCGATCCAGTGGGGGCAGTCTGAGAACTCTCGACTGCTCCACGGTTGCCAGGAGTGCCCGCAGAAAGCAAACAGGTTCCGGACGTCTGCCATCATGGTCAGCTTCTGCAAAGTTGCTGCGGCAGACCAAAGCATGACGAGTCAGACCCCTGATCACACCCTTCGGAAATTCTGGATTCGGACGTATTTCGGCGTCCTAGCAGTTTCCCAACCCTGTTAAGAACCCACTTTGATCCTTCAGGGTTGACATGCAAGACTCATGCAAGACTGTTGTTCAGAAGAAGGCGACTTGGCAGGGCAAGGATCGCCGAAACCCGGGAGCTTGTCAAAAGCATCTATAAAAAACATCCCTTGCCGGTTGCTGAGCATTGAAGCGTCTGGCCCATGAGGGCCCAAAGGTCAGAAAGGTCCGAATCGCAGGCTTCAATGATCCTCCGCAGCTCAGCAGCTCGCCTCGACCCCTCGAGAGCTTTACGGCTTTACGGGAGCCTTCAAGTCTCTTATAGTCTGGTAGAGTTATGGAGCTATTTGGCCTGACCCTACGCATGTCGAGACATGTCTACGCCGCAGCCATGGTGCCCGCATCATGAACGCCCTGGCTCTTGCGGCGCTGTGGACCGCGAAAGCTTGGCCGACAGACCCACCGCACTACCCACACTATCACGGACGCGAGGCGGCGGGCTTACCAGTTCATTGGCTCAAGGTTTGGTTGTTCATAATAGATCTTCTTCATCGATATCTCTTTGCCTGACACATAACTTAAGAACAATGCCCTGTCTCCTGATATCTTTTCCGGCCTTCTGTCTAGGATTGCGTTGTTTGTAGTCGCCATCCTGCAGCCTGACATGTTGATGTGTCAAGAACTGGGACAGTTGACCTTGTCACATCGTTGATGATTCCAGGTTCGGCCAACACAAAAGTTATTTTACTTCGAACATCCCCACCTTAGCATTTCAGGGTCTCTGAGGTTGGGCACTCCAGGGAGTCTCTGGGGTTGGGCACTCCAGGGAGTCTCTGGGGTTGGGTGTCTGGCGTTGGGCATTTCAGGCAGTCTCTGGGGTTGGGCACTCCAGGGAAGAAGCACCAGCCTCTCTTTGGACTGCCGAGTTCGTCCCAGTCTGATTAGTATATTGTTATACTTTAACATTTTTTGTTATAGGATTATATATTCTTATATAGTATTACATAATGATTTACGATTCGTAGAATCATTCTCTTTTACGATACTATTCAATATTATTATTATTAGTATTCTAGTTTTTATCATTGTATTATTATTTATGGGTGTTGGGTCTTGATCGGTAGCGAGTGCAGTGACAGCGCTGGACAGGAAGCGATAATTCCAGGTCAGGGTACCCTGGGTTTCGTACAGTGGAGGCTCCCCCATTTTTTTGTGAGATGCAACACCCGTATAGCCCCACACCGGGAGGGCCCTCTGAATTTTCTGAATATCTACACTTCTTTCTTCAATCCTGTAAGGCAGGGCCCGAGCCAAAGCAAAACCAAACCAGGACACTGAGGGGGATGGATTTCTTTCTTATGTTTCGAGGCGATTGGGTTTGGAGGGTCCTACCGGGCCGAAGACGAAATTATGAAAATGAGGGCTCGTGAGTTTTAATGGATTTCTGAATTTAGCGACTGCAGATGCCAGGATTCAAGCATATTCAAGCGCAAGCTGAGGGTGAATGTCTTAATTTCCAATAATGTATTCTTAAGCAGTGTGATCGCTGCACCTAGTTGTTTTCAGAATGAAGAGAAGGGTGTGGCGGTTTGGAAGTTGCTTTGGGGTATGTGCCGATGTGCTGACAGGGGCATGCCAGCTAGCACGCTTGCGGGCATATCTTCGCTTGGCTTGACGATGGATGTCGGCTGGCTCCTAAAGTTCGAGCCGCTTTGCAGGTCTACATCCTGAATGGCTCCTGGGCATTCTCCTTCTTGGGGGAGCAGGAGCCGTTGCAAGATCTTGTGAAGATGTGGAATGCGTGTCGGTATATTTGCGTCTTCACCCCGCATTCCTGATGTGGGCTTCAAGGCTTCATGGTCTGGGTCTCTAGGCCACGGTCGAGGTCTAGGTCTCTAGGTGTTTGCTGTTCTTGGGGGTTAGTGCGGCTCAGTTCGCTCGTTGTCGTGATTGGGGTTCAGAGAGGCTATGGCCCGGGTATGGAGAAACGGTCCAGATGTCAATCCAAGTTCGAGTGCCTACGTTTATCAATAAGTTGCTGGGAGTCTGCTTCATGCAAGAATTTATGTAGCCCATGCCCAGGCAGCCCCAGAACAGCAAAATTTGCTCGCAGCCACCGAAGTCGTCAGCAGGACCCGGCAACCTGGCCTTTGCCTGAGCCGGACATTTGGGAGCCACCAGGCCGAACGTAGCCTTGTTTTCCCATACAGTGCATGCACTGTCTCTGGCTCTTACGATTTGAGAGTACAGGGATGTTGTGAAGGGATGCAAAGGACATTCGACTGCTTGGACGGCTCGGTCCCATGCAGCATGCACTGCTCGTGAAGCGCAGAGAACTGTTGTCGCCTTCGGAGTGCTCTTGGAGTGGTCTCGGCTCTTGGCTCTTGGAGTGCCTTTTGAAGTCTTACGCTGGCTGTGTAGGTTCGCCCCGTGTGACGAATGCCACAGGCTCGTGGACGTCCCGGACGCCTTTGATCTGCGGCCGGATGAGCCGAACTGCAAATGTGGCGCTGTCCTGTGTCATAAGGGTCATAAGGGGTGTAAACGGTTTGGTAGGGTTTGGGTTGAGGCTAAGAGGAAACCCACGGTAGGCTTGCAGCGGTTTGGATGTTCAAGTTTGTGCCGGCTTGATTGTGAGATTCCCAAGCCTTGGAGTTACCAGTTAGGTTCAGAGATTCCCGACCTTACTTGGCCCCATTCTGACAGGCGCCAGGGCAGGAGCAAAGAAGAAGACCGAAACCAAGAACCTGATGCAGAAGTTGAGTACGACCCGGATGGGCCGTAAACATAGAGTTCAACTTGGTCCACAAGGCAAAACCCCGCGCAAGACAAGTTCTGATAGATTTCTGTGAGCCTTTCAGACCCAGATCCTCCGAAGCTTTTACGGCTCGAAGCCGAGGTTGGCCCGAGCCGGATCGGTGCGGACAGTGCTGCGACCGAACCTTTGGCCATCGAGGGGACCCCGAGTGCTGGGGCGACCGGAGGCTGGAGACTTGGACTCAGGGACTTCGGGTGAGACTTGGGGTACAGGTCTATAGACTGTAGAATCGAAAGTCTATGCTTCAGACAGAGGGATCCCCGAGCTGCGATCATGAAGCACATGCTTGAACGAGTTCTTGTTGGGCTGGCAGGCTGCAGTGCTGTAAGGCGGTCGGATTTCATAGGAACGCTTCACGATAAGAGTGTGAAGAGCAAGCCTTTCCAGCAGCAGGGCGATGCTTTCTCTCTTTCTTCCGTTTTCCTTTGGCTTTGCTCTCTCCCTCTCTCTCCCTCTCTCTCTCGCTCGCTCGGTCTCTTTCTCGCTGTCGCAGACATCTCGATGGCGTCTGGAACTACGAGCAGGGTCCGCACTGGGAGGGTCGCTTGCTTGCAGTGCCGGTGTTAGGACAATGGATTGAACCCCGAGGGTCAGCTCCGACAGTGAGGAAGGGGTCGGTACAAGTCCCAAAGAGATGTCGGCCTGCTCCCCTCCCCCCATGGCATCACCACCTCCACAGCTTCCCCGGAAAAGGAACTAGCCAGGGCCAGGGCTGCGCCCGCCGTCCTGGCATCGCCACTAAAAGGCACAGGTCTGAAATACTCTATACAGACATTTTCTCGCGGTGTGGCGTACCATGGCGTGCCACAAGACATGCAGCAGGCCGAGTACCTTGTTGAGCGCATCCAGGCACATGTGCGAGCATTCAAGGTGAACTCGGACAGCTCGCCTGGCTTACGCCTCCCAAACTTTGGGAGGCATAAGCCAGGTGGCAAGAATGCGGTCGCTTCCATCGTCTTTTGCAACATTTGTTCTCTTGAGGGGTGCGGGTACCATGAATAAAGCGCTAATGCCGCAACGACCAGCTATCTGCCGAGTCGGGAGGCAGCAATATACTGGAAGTTGTGGCCGAGAGCATCAGCCTGACGGAAACCCCCATGAGGTTTACACTATAAAGCCTTTGCCGCATGATTTTCTGTGTCACCTGGTGATGTCTCCTCACGCTCTTGCTCTGGTGATCTGGAGACCCTGGAAGCCGAGCCCTTATGCTGAACAGTTCCAGAAGCTTGTGCTAGTGTGGGACCCGACCTAGTTCTCCAGGCAGGCTTCAAGATATTATGGGCAAACTCAACAACCCCGAACATGCCCAAGCCTCAGTGCCCTCAAAGGGACCCGCGGTTCCCGGCGATGGTGATGTTCGCAATTGCATGGAGCACGACCTTGCCTGTTTGTTTGAGGAATTCTGGCGAAACGTCCGTGTTGCTGACGAGCAGTTTCGGGCATTCATCTGGCAAGGGGGCGTTTTGCCATTGTTGCTAGCTCCACGAATCACCTCGGGCGAGGTGGGCGGCCCATTCCGTGCGAAAGAATTGGGAAGGATTGGGCCTTTGAGGGCAAGCGTGCGTGAGCACTTCTTAGGTCACCCGCCGGTTCCCCGTGGGGCCTGTAGGCTTCAAGTGGCTCTTCGGGCCAATTCCTACATTCATACTGTATCGTTTGCGACTGAGCCATGGTACATCATGGTACTGACCTGCCGGGCTGCAAAAGACTCCCGTGAACTTTTGCCAATGGATGGAGCGCATGGGCTTTACCAGCTGCTGGTAGCGCGCTGCCCAGCCAAGGATTCGAGGCCTGCTGCCGGCCCCATCCTTTGCGGCTGCGTCGGGGCACTGCCGTGTACCGAACAGACGTTGAGGCCAGGGTTGATAGGGCCTCCACATCCGCAACCACAAAGCAACAGCAGTGGATAGCACTTGCAGACAGCAGCTGCGACAAAAACACCAACAGCGAGATGAGGCAACGCCGGGCACAGCCGCCCTCCTGCAATTCGCTGCTTGCACAAACCGCTGCCTCGTCCGTGTGGACGGCGCCTTGTGATCCTATTACGATTGGTGCAGCCCTTTTGTGGCTTGCTCAAGGGTGTCCGTACAACATGGTTGGCTTCGGCGATTCGGGGCAGGACCTAGTGCTCTGGATTTTTTTTTGCGATGAGGAATGAGTCGAGCCATCTGGCTTAAGGTTTTCAGGATGTTGGATTATGCAATTATGCAGGTCTTTCTTATGTTTGGGGTTGCTGCCCGGACTCTTGTGAGTTGGTGTGGCCTCGAGGTTGGTCAATGCTTTTCCATGTGCGAAAAGAAGGCTATGCTGCTATACTTAAGCGCGGGTTCTTTTGTCTGCTTTGTTGTTCTGATTGGTGTTGTTGCCATGTTGGTTTGCGCTTGGTCATCGACTCGACTGTGCATTTGCTCAACACCTGCGTCACAAAGTTGTCTACTTTTTCTTCGCTCTGTATAAGGAGGAACTAGATTGGAAGGCGTTTGCGCTAGTCACTAGTCTTATGCTTCCCGTCGGTGCTTGCAGGTCACAATCCCAAAGTTCCGTCATCAGGATCAAGGCTGTCAGTAGCACGCAGGAGTACAAGCAGATGGTCCAAGCAGGGCAGAGTTTCGCTGCCAGAAGTTGCGTGCAGTTGGCTTATCTTGTCACACGTCTGTGTACCATAGTCCGTTCCCCCTGTCAATCACCCGAAATCACCCTGAATCGCACGGCAAGGCCGCCATGTAAGCCACACTTTGGTGCGGATCTGAACTCCGAAGCCCTTAATTCCGCACCCTGGGCTATCCGACGCGCTGCAGCATGACGCATTCAAAGAGACGGATGGCAAAGCAGACACGCCTCCACATCAGAGCCCTAACTCCCAGCACATTCAACTTCGTGTTTTGTTGCCAAGTTCTGAACTCCAGACAACGACAAGGTCTAGAAGTCCTGCGACATTTGTCTTCAGTTGTTGCGCTTTTGCATCGCCTGCAGCTCCCAAGCACATGGGTTGGCATGCTGTTGCTGACTCGGCTGTTGTTTCTCATAATGTTCCGGCCCTCCCAATTCTATCTAAGCTTCTTCTTCGTGCTCATTGCTTCCCAAAAAGCCTCCCCAGTTAAAAGCCCTTCTAGTATTGAGCTTGTTCTAAGTCTTTCTGAGATGGAAAGATAAGATGCAAGACTTTGATTTGGGAAAGGGAGTGCGAGATGTGTCTCACCACCGAGCGTGCAAAGGTGAGCTTCTTGCGGACCACGCTGGCCTCTCACCATTTGAGGTTGAGGTGGGCCTTGAAAAGCAGACTTTCAGGCTGGCCCCCTTTCGGGCCGAGGCTCTGCGTTCATTGTCATGTTGAAACGTTCTAAGACCTGGCAGTGCGACCCAGTCCCCTATGCAGGAGGCAAAATACGTAAAAGCAACAATCAGGCAAATGGGTGGTACAAAAAGAAACAGGCAGACCTTCAAAACTGAGCAGGAGTTGCCTCGGACGACCGGCAGATTTTGTGGTAAAACGTGTGTCGCTAGACTTCTACTTGAGCCGTAGGTTGCAAGGACGTAGGCAGGGGCAGCAGGGGCAGCAGATTCCTCGGAGCAAATAAGTCCAAAAAAGTAGCCGCGCAGATGAGTTCCGACCCTCTGGCTTACATAGGGTGAGAAGAAGTAATTTTAACGCTACGCGACCCGCCTCGGCCCGGCCCAGCGCATCCGCGTGAGCATGGTGATTCCGCAGCGCCCAAGTCGCAGGACCCCAAGCAATAAGGGTTGGGTTGAGGGTTGAGGGTTGAGGGTTCCGGGTTTATGGTTTATGGTTTGGGGTTTGGGGTTGAGGGTTAGTTTAGGGCTCAAGGTTCACGCTTTGGGGTTGAGGGTTCGGCTTGGAGTGATCGTAGGGTGGGCGACTGTTGGGGTGGGGGGGGGAGGGGGGGGGGGGGGGGGGGGGGGGGGGGGGGGGGGGGGGGGGGGGGGGGGGGGGGGGGGGGGGGGGGGGGGGGGGGGGGGGGGGGGGGGGGGGGGGGCCCTGTTGGGAGGGGCTTCGACTGCCTCTGGTCCTGGCGAATCGTCCGCTTGCGGACCCCGGTTTCCCAGGGGGGGTACCCATTTGAGGCCAAAAAAAGGGGTCCGAAAAAGGGTTTTGTTGGGTGTGGGGGGGGGTGCCTGTTCTGACAACCTATACACCTCCGGCCCGAGGCCTCGGCGGATTTGCGGCCGTGCTCACACCAGTTGAGCCTCCGGCCCTCAAGCCAGCGCGTCGGAGCAGGAAAACTCCGCCTTTCACAAACACCTTATGTGAGCAAGCGTTTGGGGAGGGACAAAAGGGGGGGGTAGGGGGGGGTAGGGGGGGGGATAGAGGGGGGGTAGGGGGGAGGTGGGGGGGTAGGGGGGGGCAGTAGGGGGTTGGGGGGGGGGGGTTGGGGGGTCGGGGGGGGTGGGGGGGTTGGGGGTGGGGGGGGGGTGAAAAAGGTGGGGGGCCCTGCTGGGAAGGGCTGCAACTGCCTCTGGTCCTGGCGAACCATCCGCTTGCGGACCCTGCTCACCTAGGGGGGGTACCCATTTGAGGCAAAAAAAGGGGTCCGAAAAAGGGCTTTGGGCCTGGAAAGAGGATTTGGAGGGGGGTGCCTGTTCTGACTACCTATACACCTTCGGCCCGAGGCCTCGGCGGATTCAAGAAAGGGCCGCTCAGGAATGGGATCAGGGTTGAACATAACTAGCAGACCCCAGACCGCCCAGCGCACACACACAGAACTGTTTGTCACTGCCTACTGCCTGAAGAACCTCAGCTCGAAAAGGGGTTGAGAAGTGCTTGTATGGATGGAGATGCATGACACTGAGCTCCTTCATGGAAACCGCAGGTGCCCCCGAGCCTGCAGGGCCAGCGCTCCATCTGGGTGATTGCAGACAACACTTTCAACATGACAACTCACCCAGCACCTTGGTGGAACGGGTCCTTAAGGGATACGTGTGCAGTGTAGCTTTAGCGCACATGTGTTTGGGTTTCGACAGGCCTGTGTGCTTGCGTGCCGGCTAGCCTGAATACATGTGCGAGTGTGGTGCAAAGGCGGAGCCAAGCACAATCCGAGTTTGAGCTTCCTCAAGTGGAACATGACTTCTATCCTTGCTGAACTCACTGATTTGCGCTACCTCCCAAACAAACCCAGAGAAGCCCATAGCACTGCAAGAAACAACAGGGAACGACGCGACACGGTTGAAGTGGTTGGCAGAAGCTCATCGAGCTGCGTACAAGCTTAGTCTAGTTGAGTTGGAGCCTGAGGGCTGCGAAATTCTGGCAGAGTATGATGAAAAAACCTGGAGACAACATGCTTCGCGTCAGGAAGGGCGCAACTAAACGCGACCTCGTTGAGAGATCATGCCGCTTCAAACGATGTTGTGGGTGGAGACGTATAGCATGTAGAGAGCTCCTCCTGGTCATTGAGGTGCACCAGCCCAAGTACGACTGGTACCAGGCCCTTCTGAGAGCTCACCTGCCTTGCGAAATTAGTAAAGGAGCCCAACTGGAGAGCTCTTTGTCTGAGGGGGCCTGAAGACAAGTCCAACCGGATCATGTTCCGATCAGCCTTTTTATTATCAAAACAAAATCTCGACATCGCTGCAGTTGTTGTTGATGACGCGGGCGCATATGATGATAATGGTGATGGTGATGGTGATGGTGATGGTGATGACAATGATGGTATTGCAACAATGATCATAGCTGGCAAGCATCTCGGCCACGTCGTGAACCTTCGAAGCCCATCAAGCCACCAGGCGCCCTATGCGCCCGGTGACCTAAGTCGGGGCATGTGGTGGAGTGCTGTGCACATGTGTACCCTGAAGTTGAGAACTGGGTGTCTCTCCGTGCTGCGTGCTGTGTGTGCTGCATGCCAAAAGCCTCGGATGTGCAGAAGGCTACTGCAGATGCTGGGGCTTGCCAAAGCCAGAATCACCAATCCCGAAATCGTGACTGTAACCCAGGGTCCCAAAGCCTGCTGCTGCAGACAGAGCTTGCAGACAAAAACGCACAAACAACGTCACCTCCCTCTCGCCCCCACCGTCGCTTGCAAGATGTTCAGAGCCGGTTCTCAGACGAGAGCGAGAGAGAGGTTGCTTTCGGCAGGTCTAAAAGGACGAAAAACTTTCGTGAGGGTTGTTCGAAGAGGGAGGGGGAACAACTCATTTACAGTAGAGGGCAATACCGCAGCCAGTCAGCCCCATGACAGTACTTACCTTAAACTTAACTTGTTCTATTTGCTGGAGGCCAAGCAAGGTGGAAAGATTCGGGTGTTAAAAACTCCGCTGGCCGTCTTACCCAGGGGAAACAAACAAGTCGAAAGACACGACGCCCTGGGACCAAGTCTCGCAAATAACAACGGATTCGGGCGCGCTTCGCGCGCGGAGGGGCCTCGTCAGGGGTTCCCTTCATGCCCAGCAGAAGAAGAAGAAGAAGAAGAAGAAGAAGAAGAAGAAGAAGAAGAAGAAGACGAAGAAGAAGACGAAGAAGACGAAGAAGAAGAAGAAGAAGAAAAAGAGGAGAGAGAGAGAGAGAGGGGCCCTTCTTGGGTTGTGGACCTTGGCGGTACTTGCCGCCGGGTTAAGACAAACAACCTGAAGCAGGCTGGGGGACTGATCCGCAGCGTGCAGTTCCATGCGCTCAGAGGTCCAGAAGCACCGGGAACTTGCCCAAACGGAGGGGGGTTGAAGTTCATGGTGGGGCTCGGGGCCTTGGGTTGAGTGCCTCGAGTGGAGAGTTGAAGACGGCTTGGGGATTTGGCTTTTGGAGGTTTGAGGGCTGCCTTGACATCGACTCCCAGTATTGCATAAGGAATTTCCTGAAGTTTTCAGCTTTTTGAGTCTTGAGCACCAGAAGCCAAGCCTGACACAGGTCCTGAGCCCCTGTACATAGCTTCTGTGGGCGCCCTTGCTGCAGCAGTAGAGGCCCTTATGGAGCCATTCATACGCGTGAGTTTGGTTCAGTTTGGTTCAGCCACGGGGGGTTTGGGGTGCCGGGCTTGGTTTTGGGGACTTGCAGCTGTCTTTGGAGAGCTTGGATACTTCGGGCTGGGAATTGCAATTTGTGTTAGTTGGGGTCTCTTGACGATGCGGGGTCTGGGTTTGTGCTGGGATGTCCTCAGAAGCTAGGCATGCAATTCCCCCGGCAACTTGCTTCCATGTACGCAAGCTCACGGCTCTTTTCTGAGTGCGGCAGTCGCCCCTTTGATGCCCGCGTACGAACCGTATCCATGTCTTCTGCAGATACCAAGTTGGTTAGCTGAACCTGCAGATGCGTGGACCATCCATGTGCTCTACTGTACCAGCGCAGCACCCCACGTCCCCCCGAACAAAAGAAGATATTTACCACCAACACTGCTGTGGGACTGCAATCCCTCGCAAAGCTCTATGCTACAACTGCAGCAACTCCTCTAGAGCTCAACATTCTTCGATCTTTGCACGCGTGTGTAGGTTACGGATGTATGACCCGGACAATCTCTATAATACTCCCTAGGGATGCCCGAAATTTCTCAAGGCACAACAGACCTTTTCCCAAGGTGTTTGGCCACGTTCGGAGGTCGAGGTGGAGGTTGAGCTCCAGGTGACACGGATTCAACTGAGCAGGGACAAGCCGTCAGTAACAGCAGAATGTTACAGGTTTGTACTAATTAAGGACAAGCTTGAATGTGCTCGTGGTTTGGTGGCCGTGGTTTGGTTTGCAGCAGGCTTCCTTGTGCGATTCCAGCTATGCCAGGAGCATCGTGATTCGCGGGTGCGTTGAGCAACCAACCCCACAGCCATGAAGCTGTTGGCTTTAGGAGGAATTCTGGACATGGTGTGATCTGGTGTGCTTTGGTTTGGGGTTTTGGGCTGGGCTAAGCACAGACCCGGCTGCGCATTGGTGGTGGGAAGTCTCGTGAGTCTAGTGTTGACCGAGTAGGTGAATCCGAGCTCTGGACTTCCAAACTCGAACCCCAAGCACCCGCTGGAGGCATCGCAAGCGGCGGTTGGACGCCCTGAGCTGGTGTTTCGCTACCGCTTCGACGACGCGAGCCGATGCCAGGAGGCTGAATAGCCCATATGGTTTCCATCATGCATATTCATGCATCCAGTGCATTTGGTGTTGTGGATGGTTCAGTACTTGCAATCCTTAGTAGTGGTCTGGTGGTTCGAGATTCGGGTATCTGGCGCGTCAGAGACAGTTGCGGCGCGGCCGTGCTGGCTGCACAGCCGCCAATGACCACAGTCTTCTGTTATGCCGAAGTTTATTTTTCAATTCTGCTTCTTGCCCTGCAGCCAGACTTCGTGCAGCTTCGGGCCAAAATTCAATGGTAAGGATCTTGCGGGAGAACGGCTAGCTCACCTCCCTCATTCAGGGTCTTAATAGAAAAACGATGAAAAACGATTCGAGAGCCGTTTCTGGAGTGTCTTCTCTCGCAGCGGGCCTTAGGTCCAAAGAGTGCAAGTGCCGCACCATGTGGCTAACGGTGTTTGGGGATACCCCCTTCTGCTTTCCAGTGTCAGATTCGAGTTGCGAAGGTTTTTGTTCTCGCTGGCGTCTTCCCTGCCTAGCCGAATCCTTGAAAATCAGAGCTTGCAATCGAAAACGGCACATGGGCTGCGCCACAGGCAGCAAGCTGGGATCAGCTTCCGGGAGCAACGGCGCAGCTTCTGGTTCCAGAGGCCTTTAAGACTTGGCCTCGAACCGTGCCAAGAGCATGTTGGACTGTGATGGAGCTGTCTCAGTGCCATGCTTTTGAGCCCAAAAGCCCTACGCCGCGAGCCCTACACCGGAGGCCAGCATCTGGGACCCCAAAGCGGACGAGCCATCCTTGCACCACCTGTCTGTGGCCTTGTTCCACGAAGAGCAGATGCTTGCAGGGAGCTCAGATATTCCAGCGTTCTTTTTTGGCCCCGTGCTCCCATAGACCCTTCGGGAGATGAGGGGTGAGAAGCAACGTAGGACCTAGGCATTGCTCAATGTGGGGGCTTGGGTTTGGTGCTTCCACTCTCCGATCCGCCCAGGACTGCCACCACGTTCGATTCGGCCTGCGCAAAGTGGGAACACGAAGCTTGGGCTCAGGATACCGCGCAAAGCGCGGGCACGTTGGTATCGCTGTGCACATTGCTTGCGACATCTTGCGACTCTAAGTTCGCAGCATTCAGCCCCTAGGCGGCACCCAGCTCCTCCTCAACGGTGCGCCTCTGAAGCTGCTGGGCTTTAACCGCCACGACATGGTCGACACCCCGGCATCTCGGGCGCAGCTGGGGCAAGTGGTTGTTCCGGTTGCAGGGGGCTTCTCAATTTGTCAATGGTGAAGTTCACGCGGCTTCGACAAGGGAAAAGGACGAAGACTATGCCCCCCGGAAGATCGGAGACTTCGCATTATTCAAGGGTTGCTGTAGGGTTCCCGGGCACCCTCGCGCCAGATAGAAATTCATACACAGAAAAGTGATCCGCTGCCAGGTGCTAACCTTCGACCAGCTGCTCAGAGACGTATTGCTCCTGTGGCGCGGCATGGTGGAATCTGCAGAAAGACCTTTAAAAACACCCTTAATGCAAGCTAGGCAACTGGACCCAAATGGCGACATGTCCTGCCTTCTCAGGAAGGACCTAGGGGCCAACTTCGTCCGCGGGGCGCATTACCCACAGGACTGCGCATCACTCCAAACCAGTCCCGAACCGCACGGCCGTGGCGTCAACTTGTCCCGAAGCCTTCGCCAACATTGTGAGTGATGCGAAATGCTGGTATGATCACGGGCTGTGCTAGCTGGACCTCCAATTCCTTCAGACCCACTTACGGCTTTTCCTCCCTGCAATGGAGGCATTGTTAGTTTTCGCAGGACCCGCGCTTCTTGGACCTCTGTGACGAGCATGGGCTCCTGGTGTGGGAGGCTGCAGCCAAATTTCCAAACCCTTCGCGAAGGCTTACCCACTCCCCCTGCCCGATCATCAACAATAACTCCCAAAACAGCCTGACATGGGTCATAGGATCTTACAAGTACAATACCTCCAAGGGGGTTTTGATTCGAGCTCTTGCTTATACTTAGTTGCCCCACAAAAAACCATCCCTTGTGCTCCAGGAGGTCCTGGGCTGGCAGAACACCGCCGCCGACTTTGCCGATGCAACGTTCATGGCACAGAGCTTCCGAGACTCGGCGTGACCGGTCACCGATTTTACCAGAAGCTGGACGAGGGTCGATGCCTTGAGCGCACATCGGAAGCTCTAGGCTGGCCCTTGTCCTGTTTGGCAGATGCCGAACTCTTCAGGCATGGCTGAAGAGATGGCGCGGGCATCGGCAAACCATCCATCGGCTGCTGAGCTGCAGGGCTTAGGCTTTGTATATTCCGTCGTTCACGAGCCGTAAAACTGTAAAACCTCTGTACGGTACTTCCATGACATGACACATCTTGTCTGGCTCGCCAGCATCTTGCTGACACTGCCAACGCATATGCATCCTCGAGTTTCCCTCTGTCGTTTCTTCTTGGCTAGGTTGATTCATGACGGCCATTCCTGCCAGGAAACTGTACCATGCTTCATCTTGATTTCTGGCGCTGACTTTGCGAGCTGCAAGTGCAACCGAAGAGTACTACTGTTTTTCGAGTCGTTTGAGAGTCTGAATGATTGAAGGGCTTGTTTCCCGTACAATTTTGGACGTTGATGAGTTCTTTGGAGTCTAGAGCCCAGGGAGGGTGCACGTGCTTGTTTTAGTTGCCTGGTGGACCCGGCTTCAGTTGCTGCCCCCCCAGCTCGGGTCGCAGGCTTTCGGAAGGTTTGGGATGAAAGGGCCCGAAGCTGAGGTGATTTTCTACGGCTTCTTTAATGAGGGAGACTCTTGGATGCACCCTTGAGACCCTTCAGCTCTTTGGACTCCGTGCCTTGCACAGGGCCCCATACTGCCCCCACATCTCTCAGGATCACTGAGCCACTAAGCCGGTTTGGAGGGCAACACGGACACACTGTGATAGGCTTCTGTCGTCTTTAGCATCTTTAACTCCGTCCTGAGGCACAGGACTATGACATGCTTCGCTAATGTGTGAAGTCGGTGCACTTTTGTGTTTGGCACCTGCTAGGGTCAAAGGCGCCCCTGCCCGACATGCCTTCAGGAGTCTTTCGACGATGGTGATGCCAGCTGCCGTGCATACGAGTCCATGGCGGCGCAGCTGCGCAGGCTTCCGGTTGTGGTCTTGGATTGCTTCCCAAGAGCCCCTGCTTGGTTTCCAGTGTCTGTGGATGGAGGACCAGGCTGAAGGATTAGCCGACACTGGAGCAGTTCAGGTACGTTAAGTTTGGGTCGGCTCCGATGCACGGCAGACAGGGCCTTCGCTAGCTAAGCAGGGCGTATCATGGGTGCATTTCAGACCGGATCTTGTCGTGCACACTGGACGCTGCTACGTTGCAACCCGGCTCCCGCCTCTTATAAACCCTGAACCTGACCCAAGTCTCGCCCTCCCACCAGGCACAGTGGGCGAAGTCGCTTGATCAGCTACGGGTCCAACCATGCCGGGGAGGCGGCTGGGAGGATTGTCGTTCTTGGGTTTCAGGCGCCCTGGAGTTTTTGGGACTGTGAAGTTGCTGGGAAGCTTTCCCAGAGCGACTCATAGAACCGGTGGACGCTGGATGACTTATGCTCGTCTGGACGTTGCTGGGCTTCTGCGCGAGAAGCCCAGTCCTCCTGCGCACACTACACCCCAGGGCTCTCGGGGAAGCTCGACTGTAGCCCGATAGACTGCTAAATTCCTGTGGGTGACCAGGACCGGCAGCTTGGGACAGTGGATGTCTATGCATTCCACCTGCGCCTGGTCAGCACCCAAAACGCGTTGGCTTCTAGATGGCCAGGGGCTGATGCGCTTTACATCGGTAGTTGTAAGCCCCCTGTGTTTTTTTGCGTGCCTTTCTTCCATAAGGTATTTGGCCTGGTACCCAACGACACACCCGGTGGTAAAGGAGGTGCGATGGGATTCGTAGCTTAAACGGCGGATGGTCTGGCTGGAATCGCCGTGAGTTGCTTGGCCTTGGCCTGTCTCAAGGCTTGCTGAGAAGTAGGTGCAAGTTCCGTTTACGTGGCCTCCTGAAAAGTTCCCTGTTCTGAATCTTCATGCGGCCACTGCCACTAGTTCAGGAAGTGGAGGAGATCCCTGGCATTTGGGAGCAAGTGCGGCTGTGGTCGCTTCAGGCCTGCAGAGACAGAAGAATGATCTTTGAATCCGGAAACTTGAGTACGACGCCTCAACACACTCCAGAAGCAACTACGTGTGCGTGGATGGCATATCCTCCTTGGATTCGACAAGTGTGCAGCTGCGTGAGCTGACAGCAGAACGACCCTTTTGAGTCCGAAGGTTCGTGTTTTCAAGTCAGCAAGAGGTGATGCCGTTGCCCCCTTTCATGTTCAAGGTTTGGGCAGCCTGAGCGTGCAAACGCTGAGATGCGACACCGGAAGTCCGCACCCCAAGTGCGCCAGAGCCCGACAGAGCCCGACTGTCGTAAAAAGCCCTTCCTAAGCAGCAGGCCGGCGAGAAGCCCATGCTCATCACCGCTTCTCGTCTCCAAGGGGCTGATTGAGCACCGATCGGTGTTCGGTGCACGATGCCATGATCGATGAGGCTTAGGACCCTGAGGACCGTTTAGCGCTTGGGGTTGTGCAGCAGATCGGTTTGCGCCTTCAGGGCCTCGCCCTGAGGTCACGCACCCCCAAGACTGAACCGTTAGACCATGCACACCGATAGCTGCTGAGCAACTCAAGTTCTCACAGTTCATCGGCTGCCTTACAGAAACCACAGCAGCCTGGCAAATCCTCAAAATGCTGTCATGAGGAGTCTAGAACGTACTTGTAGGCGGATAGTCTGGATTTTGTGGTCAAGCACTGACCCCCAGCTGTTTGCAGAATCGGCAATTGGCCCAGGAAGCCGGAGCGGGCGGCGTTTTCGGGTTCCGCGGTTCTGTCTCGCAGAAGTGGACAGAGGAATACCAGGCCCGGCACGGAACATGTGGGGGTTGTTTAGCGTCTAGGGTTTAGCACAAAGTACCAGAGCAGCTTCGTGCATGGTTAGTTGCCAGTTGCTAGTTGGATGCGGCTGATGAGGCGAACTATGCACAAAAGGCTCATCAGAAGAATATAGCGTTTGTTATGAACATGAGAATAGAACATTTACATCGTACAGTAGTATCATGTAGCATCATGAACCAAGATTTATATCGCAGAGAGAAGATCACAATACAGCAAGAATCAGATCACAATACTATGAGATTCATTGAAACGAACGCTCTAAGCATGTGCCTTGCATTGATTAGTTTAGGGTTTAGGGCACAAGGGTTGAGGGAGAGCAATAAGTCTCGCCAAGGAAGCATGGATATGCATGCTCTAAAGGCTCAATATGCTGCACAACGAGTAGTGCTTCGCTGTCTGAGGTTTCATGCGTAATTGAAGCATGTTTTTGACTCTCATAAATGAACCTTGAGAGGTGCCCTCTACTGTAGAGTTTCGCTTGAACCAACACTTCAGGGTGTTTGCGATGCCGGCATGGAGCTCAGCTCCGGTTTCAGAAAAAGGGCAAGTTTAGGCTTGATACAGCCGGGCGGCGATAGAAAGCCGTTGCAAAAGGGATCATACCATGCAGTGCGATCACTGGGCACGTCACATTGTTTTGCAGCCCACAAGCTACCATACTCCTCGCTCTCGAGCTCAGGGGCTTTCGCGTGGTTTCTCGAGGTTCATGTAGTCAGCATGTAGTGAAGTGCATGCTTGCACGTAGTGACACGTTAGGAACGGATGCCGCGTGTTGCAGGCGTTCGTTGCTCAAGTGATGTAGCAACGTAATGCCTGCGTGTTGTAGGCGCTCGTTGCTGAGGTGAGGCAGCAACGTAGCCTCTTCTTGAAAAGAAGGAGTACGCCCATGGCCATGTCTTCAGTCTTCAGCTTGGGGCGTCGCTACACATTCTGCTCGGTGTCACTGGAGAGAGCACGCCGTCGCGAGAGCAATATCACACGCTGGTGTGATGCGGCGCTGTGCTTGCGGACTATTTGAAGAAGACGAACGCTAGGTGCGAGTGAGCAGCTACAAGAATGCGTCGGCGACTGCTTGAGGCCTAAGTAGGCCAAAGGAGGCGGTGTAGTGTGTGTTTCAAAGTATCCAGATTCATTCATGAGCGTGGCGTCAAACGCACTCACTGTGTGCATTGTGTGATTGCAAGTGTCGGCATGCGCGTAGTAGTGTAGGTTGGATCTGACTGAGGTAGATCAGCGGAGGATTTGATGTAAGGTGCGCGACGATCAAGGTCGAGTTGGGAGCTTATAGCCAATGTGGTTGCGTTGCAGCGTTGGATCGAGCTGGGTGTGAAGGAAGCAGTGTTGGGGGTCGTTAGCATGCCTGCGTACGATGAGACCTTTGCGGGCTTCGTGACGGCGTGCGTGGATGCTGGAGTGGGTTCTGAAGCCATTGAGATGATGCAATCCAGCGGCGTCGCGTCCTTGCGACAGGCGCGTGTGATCTTTGCCCAAGGAGCGTGCCAGCCTCAGTTGCAGGCCAACTTAGCGGCTGTGGTGCTCACGGCCTTCGGACCAACAGTGCTTGATGAGCGCCCGCGTCAGGGTGCAGTGTTGAGAAGTGAGGCCAGCGCTATGGCCAAGCGTCAGAGTCAGGGCATTGTGGGCATGCAGCCTGCGAAAATGCTTAGGGGGGACGTGCCAGTTCCTCAGAAAAGAATGGACGCGCCAGTCCATCAGCAAAGAAAGGACGTGCCAGTCCCTCAGTTGTCCAAAGGTGGTTCTCTCAAGAAAGCGTTGGAAGCAGCGACCCCGCAGAATCGTGCTGCCGCTCTCGCTTCATTCCAGACAGACATCTGGGCCAGAAGCAACACTGCTAGCCAGGATGCAAGATGGGCTACGTGGTGCCGTTTGGCGGCAGCGTGGCAGCTGCGCCCGTGGCCACTGACGTGCAATTTGGTCGAGTGTATTGCGACGTGCCTGAAGGCCGGTGGGTACCGGAGTTCGAGGCAATATTTCAGCAGGGCCCGACAAGAACATTGTCTTCAAACTGGTTGTGAAGTTCCGCCAGACGTCTCTGTCAAGATCCGGGACGCTGTCCGTTCGATAGAACGAGGAATTGGCGGTCCGGAGTTGAAGGATGCGTTCCGAGCGGAGAGCTTGTCTTTGAAAGGGTCCTCGCGTTCGGACTGCTTTGCTGTAGCACTGATGTCGCTGGGGCTGTGGTTTCTATTGCGGGAAATAGAGATTGTGGCCTTGCTCGAAAAGCATTTTCAGCTGGACACGGAAGCGCAGAGTCGGCAACTTGGTGTCTCGCAAGCACCGGTGTTACTGTAGCGTTGTTAATCCGGACATCTGCCCTTTTCACGCTGGCCTCGCTTACAGCAAGTTCCTCAGTGGTGACGGAGAAGCTCCTCTTTTCCCGGGTGAAGATGGTGCTGCTTTGGCGAAGGAGAAGACGATTGCCGTGATACGCAGGACCCTCGCCAACAACAAGGTCTCGTTGAAACGCCCTGGCCCAAAGGGTGTAGGAGTTGTGGAAAGGTTCCATGGTCACTGTCTCCGAGTGAGCGGCGCACAGCTGATGTGCCGCCTAAGGGTGCCTGTCAGCACCATAATGCTGCTTGGCCGATGGGGCAGTAGAAGCATCGAACGCTACGTCCAGGATGCTGAGTTGGAAGTGTTTGACATCGCCGAGGCAGCTGAGAATTCGGCGAGGCAGGCCCAGACCGAGCCTGTGTCATTGCAGAAGCTGCAGCATGTGCAAGCGCAGCATGCTCAGCAGCATGTGGATACTACTGGTCTAGTGGAGCGATTGGACAACTTGGCAGCGCAGGTGGAAACTCTTCAGCAGCGTCCGCCTTTCATTGTCGGCAGGAAAGTCCATAAGAGAGATGACGACGAAGCCACCAGGCTCCCGATCCTGTGGCAGACGCGATGTGGCTGTTGGAAATATGGCCGTTCGCGCTTCATCAGAGTTCGGCAGCCAGGAGATGAGCTTTGCCGGCGCTGCTTCGTGCAAGAGGCAGATGGACAAGCAGAGTCCGAGTCGCTGTCCGAGTCGTCTGGCTCGAAGACGGATTCTGACTCGTCCGGGTCCGGGACATCGTCTGGTTCCTGTGATGAGAGCGGGTGACGTGCGCTATGCGTTGTGAATTGTGAATTGTGAATGGCGAATTGTGCTTGATTATTGCGTCAGTACTGGCATGCGTCTTGGGACTGCTGGTGCGAGCAGGGGATATTTGTTGAGGAACAAAACAGTGCATGGTGTTGCGGGCCAGCGTGATTCGATTGACGATTGAGTTGTGTGCGTCTTGACATGTTTTGAGACGAGTGTGCGTTTCGCAAAGGAATGCCTTGAACTTGCGCCTTGTGAGAGAGCTTGTGCCATTTGGTCGCCTGCTTCTGCGTCAGACGTGTGGAGTGTAGAGTGTGCTGCGTAAGTGAGGTACTGTAGTTTTGCGCTAAGTGGAGAGGCCATGACTGCTTTGCCTGCCGACTTGCAGAAAATTTTGGATGGCGTTGGCACGGACAATGAGCTTCGCGAGTACCTCCAGACGCGGGGCATCGACTCGGTGGCGGTGATGGCGGCCCTTGGTGGGGACATGAAGGAGACGGGTGACATCCTCGTGGGGCCCCTTGAAAGTGGTTTTGAGCTAGCGTCCGGCAAAGTCTTCAAGTTAGATCCACTACAAGTTCCCGTGACGAGAGCCCGCTTGCGCCAAGCATGGAAAGAGTGCGACCAGCTGATCAACGGGGGCGAGAGAGTTGAGAAGCCAGCGCCTTCAACGGTAGCAACAGTGTCTCCCTCGAAGCCGTTGAAGGACCTCCCCAACGGCTATTGGCAAGCGCAGATCGAGAAGTATCAGGCGACGTGCATCAATGGGGAGCATCGGAAATTCCCGCAGGAGGTCTTAATTGGTGCGGAGCAAGTTTTGGCACGCATCGTGGGAGAAATGAAGAGTGGAACCTTCACCGCCGTTGGGCTCCACGAGATTGTGGAGGCCCGATATTTCAATGCGGCAGGGGAGCCGAACCCTTTGAGCGCGGCTCGGAAAAAGAGCCGGCCAAGCGCAACCGTGCTAACAATCAATGCCGATCACCAGCTCGAAGCTGAGCCCGAGGTTCCTTGGCACCCCAAATCCGTTCTTGCGATGTTGGACTGCGTTGAGGCCGTGAAGGTTGCGTTGATATTCGTGGAATTCGCCAGTGAGACGGTCATCACCAACTACTGCGAGTGGTTCTCTCGTCAAGTGCGGGCCAAGCCCAACAAATTGGATCAGTTGCGTGTGTATTGGGAGAGTGCTTGGTGGAAGATTGCGTTTGCGATGCGGGCAAAGGCCAAGTTCCAGGATATCGCCGCGGAGATCATGGCAGACAACCAGGCGTTGCAGGAAGCCATGAATCGCGAGATTGCGGTAGAGAAGCCCAAGAAGACGCGGTTGGAGTACCAGTGCCTCGATCGCTACCAGGACGGTAAGCAGGGCGGCAAGAAAGGAGGCGGTAAGGGCAAGCGCTTTGGCGGCAAGCAGCAGCCATGGCAACAGTGGAACGATGGTCGATGGCGCTCCTATGATGGCTACTACCATCAGACCAACAAGCACGGCAACTGTACCAGACGTCCTGGAGGTCTTCGCGCGTTGGGGAGGACCAGAAGAGCCATCAGAAGGAGTAGGGACAGCGCGGGCCGCCCGACTGCGAAAGTGGTGCGGGTGGACCCGACACCGTCAGACTTGTGCCCACTGCAGCTACACGCAAGCGTGATTTGGAAGAGTTTCCAGATAGTGGCGGAGTGATTCGACCGCCTCTCAAAAGAAGGCAGCGTCAGAGCTCTTCGATGCATGCCACGCCTCATCGTGGGAACAATGCGCCAGACATTGTGTTGCTGAGCTTCTTTGATGGTTTAGGCTCCGCGCCGCTCATCGTGCAGAGATTGTGTGCAAGCTCAAACTTGACTTGGAGAGCGATCTTGTGGAAGGACCTTCAGAAGCTCACAGCGAGCAAGTTTCCGGAGGCCGAACAGCGTGGAGACATTGACCATGACGAGCCTCAGCGTCTCATCGGGCGCCTCGGTGAGATCGACCCTGACAGCAAGGCTTGCGTCATCATTGCTGGTGGTCCTCCGTGTCATGACCATAGTCGCATCAAGACCAACGCGCCGGGGCGACATGGTCAGGAGGGATCAAAGTTCGTGCGCTTTGCCAAGTTTGTAAAGGAGCTAGAGGCGTCCTGGAAGTATGCGCAGGCCATCCTTGTTGTGGAGAATGTGGTGCCTGAGCATAAGCAGGACATTAAGCTCTTCGAGCAGCAGCTTTCAGCGCAGGCGGTGGTGTGCGATGCGTCAGACCTCGGCGTCGTTAGTCGCCCCCGCGTCTGGTGGACCCGGATTCCTTGGCAGGAAGTCTCGCACAGATGTAATGCACCGACACGTCTGAAGTGGAGCACGTACCAAGGTATCCCGAGGGTGACGTTTGAAGCATGCAGAGCCGGACGATGTCAACGAGTACGACACGGGTGCCTTGGAGTGGCCTGCTGCTATCACAGAAAGAAAGCTTCGACCGCTGCCATGTCTGACTACGCCGTCAGAGGATCCAGCGGGTCGCCCAGCCCCGCGCAGTTGCAAGGGCAAGATCGATTCTTCGACGCAGTCGCGATGGCTCCAGGACAATCGCCAGTATGCGCCGTGGCACTACGAGGAGCAGAACCTTTGGGTGGATGCCAGCCGTAGCAATCGTTTGATGTTGCCGACAGCAAGCATCAAGGAGCAGATGCATCACCTGCCGATGGAGTGGACAGACCAACTCCCGGATCGTCTTCGCCATCGCGCTGTTGCAAACAGTTGGCATGTGGGAATTGCGAAATGGTTCTTTGTGTTCGGCTTGTTCATGGCAAAGGTTCCGGTGACTGTTGCTTCGCCTGTTGTGACAAGGCAGCCGTCGCCGCTTGGCCCCGACGCGTTGGCTGGAATGGCTGAGTTGTGGAGGACGAGCCCGTTGCTTAATGTGCCCGGTGTGCCAATCTTCGATGATGCGGTAGACTTGTCTTCCATCACGTCAATGGAAGAGCATTGGGAGGCTTCGCAATTAGTTCTGCACCCAAGCCAGTCCAGGCCGTGCCTGGAGCCTGGTTTGAAACAATGGCTGCCGCTTTGGAAACATTGGCGACCCTATTTGGTGGAAATCCGTGAGGCGGTAGTGCAGGCAGTCATGCGTCGCGTCATTGAAGCCGAGGATGAGCTGTGTGATTGGGTGCGTGCGAGACCCACGCATGTCCAGAAGGCGTACCTGGCATCGGACAGCTCTTGCACTGTGAAGGTTCCAGTCCTGAAGTCCTTGGCGAGAGAATTTGGTTGGCAAGATATGGATTTGTTTGAGGAGTTGTCGGAGGGATTCCCGTTGTTGGGGAAAATCCGGCCTGGTGTGGGCAGGAGGCTTCGTGGTGACAAGCGCTATAGCAACCCTCGGCCCATTGATGTCTTCGTGCGAGAGAATGACCAGTTCGTGCAACGGAAGCTGCGCCAAGCCAAGGTCGACCCATGCTGGGAGACCATGGCGGCAGAAATCGCAGCGGACGTGAAGCTTGGGCGCATGGAGGGCCCTTTTGCGGCCCCCGAACATTGGTGCAAGGAGACTGTGGCTCTGACGGGATTCCAGCACACATCTCGCTTGTTGCCTGCGCCAGATGGGGATGTGCCATGTTCATTTGCCTTTGCGGTGCACCAGGTCGGATCTGATGGCAAGCCGAAAGTGCGAAGAGCTGAGGACTGGCGAAGAAGTGGAGCGAATTAGACGGTGACTCCCCTGCGTACCATGACATCTTCGCGTTCGTGGACCTGGCGAAGGCGCTGCGGGCCGAGGACGAGTTTGCGCAGCTGCTTCTTTGGGGTGTAGACCACGAGGCTGCCTTCCGCCAGTTGCCAGCCGACCCCAACCACACGTTTGTGATTCTGCAGACACCCTCAGGTCCCACGTTGTGGAGACATAATGTGTTAATGTTTGGAAGCACGGCCAGTGTCTGGTCTTACTGTCGAGTAGCGGACTTCATGGCGTGGCTGATGCGTTGCTTATTGCTTGTGCCCATGTTGCATTTCGTGGATGACTTTGGCGCGGCAGAGACAGCGGATGTTGCGCTTCGAGAACTCCGCGCGGATGTGCGGAGCACTAGGGCTTGGGTTCAAGGCTAGTAAGGATCAGCCGCCAGATGCAGTGCAGAAACTTCAGGGAGTCCAATTGGAACTGAGGGCGGACGAAGCAGTGATCCAGGTGACCAGCGACAGGGCCAGACGACTGGACGACCAGCTCAAGCAGATCCTCCTCGATGACAAGCTCGTGCCGCACGAAGCAGCATCTGTGGCAGGCAAGCTCCAGTTCGTGGCGCAGTCGCTGTTCGGGAAATCGTGCGCAGCGGCACTGCGGCCGTTTTACCAGCGTGCGCAAGCGGCGCGTTTCCGCTCTTCAGCTACAGGGTGGACTTTGAACCAGGGATTACGTGCTGCCATAGAATTTCTCCGACTTCTTCTTCGGCAAGGTGCTCCGCGTGTGGTTCGGTTCTTCGTGAAGGAGAGGGTTGTCATCTATGCGGATGCCTTCTTCGAGCTGGGAGGTAGTCGATATACTTTGGCCAACGCGGACCAGGCCCCTGATTGGGGGCGGCAGCCACCGGCGACGTTCAACAATGGTTGGGGTTTTGTCGTTAATCTGCCAGGGAAGACTGTCTTCGCAGCTGGTCGAGTGCCAATGTGATTCGCCAGGCATTTCACATCACGCCGCGCGTACATCTACATGCTTGATGTCGTGGCTCAATTGCTCCCACTGTTGGCGCTGCAGGATCACTTGCCCCCGCACATTCTGCTCTTTGTGGACAACGAACCTGCGCGACATGCTCTTTCGAAAGGCTTTGGAAGGGACCATAGCCTGAATAAGCTGTTGCAGGTGGCTTGGTGCTTCATGGAGCGCAGGGCTTGGTGGCCAGTGTGGCAGCGCGTGTGCAGCGAGGCGAATGTCAGTGATGCTGTTAGCCGGTTCGACTTTAGATATGCAGAGCAGCATGGTTGGCAGTGGGCGGAGCATGACTACGAGTCCTTGCTGGAGACTCTTCTGAGAGCGCTAGAGTGGTTTCCTGAGAAGGGGCTGTAAGGGCTGTACGGTGCGAAGTTATGGCAGCAGGCGTCGCACCTATATGGTGTCGAGCGCTCTTGGCTGCCGTAAGTGCAAGCCAAGGTGCGACTCTGTGACGCCGCCTGCCGCGTTCATGCATGTCAAAATGTGATAGAGCGCGTCTCGAGCTTGTGTGAGGTCGCGTTGCTTGTTGTGTACACTTGAGGCGTAGTTCCAGTGTCGGAAGGTGCGGTCAACTGCTTGGGCTAGTATGTTTATATTCGCCAGGGGCCAATGCTACCGGCGTTGCGATGGGGCCCTTGGGCTTTTGTTCGGTTGTCCACTACGGCCCCTCAACTCAACTCATTTCATGACTTCTCACCTGAGTCTTCGTGCTGCAAACTCCGACCCTCAACGGGTCAACTAGAATCCTTCTACCTGGGCTTGCGTCCGAGCAGCTTAGCAGGTCCTGGCCACAAAGCTCGACCAGAATCATACGCCGCTTCAATCTTCAAGTTTACTTCTCATGCTACAAAGAAGAGCGAAAGATTGGGACCTCAACCTAAAGAAGAAGGATCGTCTCCCGAACTCCCAGTCGCGCAAAGCTATTAGGCGCTGCTCCTCTCCACCCACCTCGCGGCTGCCACTGCCAATCCCGGCATCGCAGGCTTTAGTCTGAGATGGTTTTGTTTAAGGGTTCAGATTTCAGGAAAAGTTGCAGTCCAGGTTAAGCTGCGTCAAAGGTTTGGAGTGTAAAGTTTACATGTTTTGCACACTTGTGACGTTTGAAGTTCTCCATAGCATGTCAAGATGCGTGGATTGTCTCCGTATTGACGGAAGAGTCGAAATGAAGCAGCCAGCGATGCGCACACACCCACTCCAGCACAAAGGGTGCCCAGACAGCGCAGTAGCAAGCACTGGCAAGTCTGTCGCCGCCTTGCTCGCAACCATGGAAGTGGCAAACACAACCAACGCTCTGTTCGTGGTGTTGCAGAATGATTGGGCTGACGCTTGAGACTGCCTTTTCCGGATTTCCGACGTTAGCTCAACAGCTTCCATCGCGACACCCTTCTTCGTCGCCGGACTCAATGGTGACACAACCTCTATGACACAACTACAAGATACAAAACACGGAGCCTACAGATGGACGAAAAACGAAACAGGGGAGCTCAGAGATTGTCGAAGAACCAGGACGAGCAGGACATGGAAAAGTTTTGGAAGCCTCGCAGATTCCGGATCGGATCGATGCTTGGAGACTTGAGCTCTATGGAGTTGTTCATGAAATATGGTCAAAAACCTCCAGCACCTCGCAAACCAGGCTGGGCAGCTATTGACGGTGGCAGAAGGTCATGAGTGTCATGGCCATGAGTGTCCAACCCGGCACGGGTTTTCTCAGGCGGTGTTGCTGAACGGAAAGCCGTTACCAGACAAGGTGAAGTATCGCAAGTGCAAATGGGAACCCCCAGCCCGTTTGGCCTTGCAAAATCTTACTTACAAGCATTGCTGAAAGTGGTGCAAACGGGGAAGTGGCAAGCGGCTGCGAAGTCTTGTGGGGCCTTGGCCATCTTGACCGAGCAGATTCAATAAGTCAGCAATCCACCAAACTTTGCAAAACGACAATAAAGGCAAGTAAAAAACAAAGCAACAACACCAAAAGGGATGAAGGTGGTCAAAACTGAAGCCTCTGTTGCTGCGTAAGTTGCTCGCGTGCTTGCGCCTTTTTGGGCCAGTTCTGGGCTTGGGGGCCTCTTGGGGTCGTTTTCAGGGGTACCCGACAACGCGAAGGACAGAGAACGTCGCCCAGAGCGAAATCCCGGAACATGAAGCCCGACTGTTGGCAACCTAGCCGCCAGAGCAAAACGTTCTGGAAACAAAAGGAGTCTGTCAATGGAATTTGTTGACGACTTCATGAGGTTGAGGTCCGCCTCTGCTTAAGAAACAGCCATGCTCCTGATTTGCCTAGCAATAAATCGGGGCAACCCATATGTCTGTACGGTCTGGTATGCTCCGCAGCGCCCGAATTTAGCTAAGTGGCCAAAGAGACACGAGCGAGAGTCAGTTGGTGCAACCGTGGGAAATTTGTCTTACTGTTGGTTAGCAGGGAATGAGGGAATTAGGGGCCCTATCTATTCCCTTTAAGGGATTTTATAGGGCACCTCATCCCATTCCCTACTAATCAACAATAAGATTTGTGGGAGGCATCTCCTTGTGGCAGTTCGCCGACATTCCCATTGACCGCAGCGTGCGCCTGGGTCCGAAAACTGTAAGGTCCTTCACGAGTCCAAAGGTGCAACTCTTCGACCCCCTGACTACATGACTACATTCAAGCAACTGGAGACAAAAGACCCCCACAAATCCGACAAGGATCCAATTCTGAGGCAGGCACATGAGGGCGTGAATCCCTGCAGATCTGTTCCGTGGGCTTTGCTTGGCACTCCTCCCTGCCATTGCTAGCGGAGCGACTTTCCTCATAATGGAAGGATGTAGTACCTTTGATCTGCTTTTTTCGGCGGGCTCGTTTATCTAGCCTCAGGCCATCAGTCGCACCTGCCATGTCCAAGCTAGGTCAGGTGAGTGGCGGTGAGGTGGCGGTGAGCTACATTGACAGAATGCCTACCCATCGGCTTCTTCATGTGTAGCACAATGGCGGGGTGTGACTTGCACGAGGTACAGCATAGGCAGACCGACATGCTGTCTCTTTTGACCTTGGAGCCTTACTCGCTAGGACTGCTAGGACCCTCACACCCCGCATTTAAATTCGCAAACGGACAACGAATGCATGTCCTGAATAAACGCCTTCAATCCTCGATGCCAGGCCCCTACATGAATGAATTTTCAAACCCCTACATGAATGAATTGTTCAAGAGCCCTCCACATTGAAGATTCTTAAGCCCCTCCACCCAAGGAGCGACGAGCAACATCGGCCCCGAGGCTACGCAGCTCTTGCTGTCAGGGCGGGTTTTCAGCTGCGGGGCCAGGCTTCGGTGAATCCGCGAAAGTCCCCTCGAGTGGCCTAACCCAAAGCACCAGTGAAGACCATGGCATGATCTGAACTTCTGAACTTGTGTATGCAAAAAGCGCATCCTAGACCCAGTTTCTCGACTGAGGCCTCAACAACAAGGGCGTCTTCAGCCTGCACCGAATTCCAAAGCTCAGCGCGGCAGCCGTGGCAGAGCTGCTCCGGCGTAGCTTGGTTTTCAGGAGATGTGCAGCGCAAGAAGCTTTAGCCGTAGGCCCCAGAAGTCCAGAAGGCTTGAAGCTCCGTGGAACTACAGAAGCAACACATGCCAACACATCCTTGTGCTCGCAGAACAACCAAGGTGTGGAGGGGCTCGGATGAGCTGCCTGGCGGCCGAAAAAGCTGTGCGAGGGCCTGCAATTGGGGCAGTTCGGGGGAGGCTTTGAATGGAGTTGAGCAGGGGAAAGAAGGACCTTCCTCAGCTTTAGGGACTTTAGAGTTCTCTGGGATTGAGAACCTGTGCAAGAGCCCTTCGTTTGTTCGTTTGTTCCCACCGGTACAAAGTTCGTTGTTGGTCTCAAGGTCCTCTCAATAGCCGCAGGCCAGGCCCACAGGGGCACTTACGCATCCAGTGGTCGAGCCGAGATCCAAAGACAAAGATAATACTTTATTGTTGCTCTTACGAGCATTGCTTCTAATTGCTATTGTTATTATTTTCTTGCTACTAAGGTTGCGATGAGCACTGGTATCGCTGGAGTTATTACCTTTGAAAATTGCGATTGCTAGTTGCGATTGCGATTGCCATGGCGTGTCATTACCATTTGTCCGAGTCTCATTAGTTTGTAGTCTTTAGCAGTTAGTTAGAAATTATATAATCGTATTTGTTAGGGTCTTTCTGAGTACTTCGTTCTTATATGCACTTATCTTCATACTCGTATGTGGTACTCAACTAGCTAGCACATAGGATTTAGCGGTGAGGAATTTGTAGGTAGTAATTCGTAGTGAATAGCCAGTACATAGAAATAAATACTCAGCACTCAGTCATGTTTTTACTTCGTGTGTACGGTTTCCATTGCTATTAGGAAGTCTTGCGCTACAAGCCCTGTCGCAGGAGGCAAGCGTCTCTAGCCGATGGCGATGGAAGCGAAGGTGCCAGTAGTTGGGAAAGAGTGCAAAGAGCAGGGTGATGGACTTGGTTGCTGCAGAGTAGAAGGCTTTTGGGCTGGAGAGGCTTGGGGATGATTTGGGGCCTTTAATCTCAGGATCGGATCTCGTTGAAGATTTGGCTCCTCCTCGAGATCCCTGTAAGAAGTCCCTCTTTGCACGAATTTCAGCATGCAGGCTGTATTAAACAGCCAGCAGTCCTGAGATAAGAGTGGAGGTTCCAATCTCGAGCAAGGTCCTTAACCAGGCCCGAGCCATGTGCCCGTACAGGGCCCGTAGGGACCGTAGAGCCCGCAGAGGCCGTACAGGCCGTAGGAGCCCGTAGGCGCCCACAGAGCCGCACGGCCCGTAAGAGCCCGTATGAGCCCGTAGGGCCCGTAAGGCCCGTAAGGACCGTAGAGCCCGTAGAGCCCATACGGTCCCATAAAGCGCGTAAAGCCCGTACGGTCCTTAAGGCCCCCAAGGCCCGTAGAGCCCGTAGAGCCCGTAAGGCCCGTAAAGCCCCTAAGCCCGTACGGCCCGCGCAGGCCCGTACGAACCCGTACGGGCCTGCGCGGCCCCTGGCCTGGCGAGAGACCTTTCTCCCAATCGAAGTGAGCCCCAAGTAGCTAGAAACCAGCAGTCTGACGCACAGTCTTTGCTTGGCCTTGCACGAGACGTGCCAAGAGCCGCAACACCTCTGTCTTCATGTCTTCATGAAGGTTCAGACACTCCAAGACCGAAGAAAGGCTCCACTCCAGTAAGAGACATAAACGCGAGGCGGCCGCTGGTGGTGCTTGCGGCCAAAGCCAGGGAGGAGGAGGCGAAGCCAGACTACGAAGCTCAGCCGCCTTGAGGGTTGCTGGGCTTCGGGTTTCTCCCTGGCTTCCGGTTGACGGTCGACTTAGTCGACTGAGCCGTCGGGCTTCGTTTCACGGACAGTCCCAGGCGTTGCAGGCAGGAAGGGCACAAGCCATGTGACATGTGATCCGTATATGAGAGTGAAGGGCTCGAGGGAGCTGAATTGGTGCCGGAGGGCACGTCAAGACTGCATGGCAAGCGAAGTCCTGTCTACAGCGGCAGCTCAAGAATAGTATAGACATATTACATCTCAAACGCATCGCGACATCTTGCTTGCACTTCTGCGGGAGAACTCGATGTTCGGTATGTTTGGAAAGGGCAGCAGCCCTGGAATGATTGCTGACATTTGCCAAGCACCTGCCTCTGAAGCACGGCGGAACCATGCGGACACCTAATGCCTTGATCCCCTAAAGCCGCCGATCACATTGTCTCACCTTGCTCACCTCTTTGAGACTTGAAGTTGCAAGCGGCCCTATCCACAAGTAAGGCCTCCTTCAGTGACGACCTCATCGTTGTTCTCAGCCAGGCAGGGGGGGAGGATGACCTCTATGGCCGACTTAATTTATGGAACCCGGCATCAAGCGCTTGAGCCAAAAGAAGCGATTGGGCCCATCCTCGTGCAGAGGCTGAAAGGAAGGCGAAAGAGCTGAAGCAAGCGCCGCTTGCTTGGAATTACAAGTGACAGCCCAGTTCAGGATTGCCAGAATTTTAGCTTCCACCCCTGAGGCCGTGGGGCTTATTTTCCTTCAGCTCCTGCGTTCCAAGTTGTGCAGTTTGTGCGTTTCCGGCTTAGGCGTAGGGGCCTTGGATACCCTTGGATTCTGTTAATGAAAAGTGTTGTGCCGCATTCAGCCTGAATTCGTCATCGCACCGGCTGTGGACTCCTGCACTTAAGTGCAAAAAGTTGTCACGTTACCCTACCGAACCTTGCACCATTCGTTGCGGGCTCGACCGATGCCTCTCCATACATTCCATACCTAGCGACAGGCCTCGATCCAGTCTCCTGGCTTCCGTTTTAAGCCGAGCGTACTTAGCAGCTCTTGATTTGGAACGCCTTGAAGCCGGCTCCGAGGCAGGTTGGGACTGAGGCGCTACTGCCCGGCCCTCAGTCGCGGGGGTTTCAATCCCACAAAGTCGGCAAGTCCCACAAACCTCGGCAAGCCTTGAAAAGTATGAACATTGCTGGACATGGCCAGTCGATAGTCCCCGGCTCCTGCACCCCAGCTGGCCCTAAACTCCTTCACCCTAAATAGCTGAACTCGGAAATCACGCCCAGGCTAGGCCTCCTGACCGCCGCCACGGAGGACAGCCCAGGTGCCGAGGCCGAGCTTTAGCTGCAGGGCTTGGGCTGAGCTCTGTTTGGGGCTGGCCTTCGGTGTGTTGCTTAGACATTCCGACGTTCGAAGTTTGGTTTATGCATTTTATGTTGGATTTGCATGTGGCTGCTTCCAAGGCTTCACTGAGTTGGGTTTTGGGTGCTGGTTTTTAGACTGGTTGTAGGAAGGCTCTTGAAACATGGGAAGGGCTCTCAGACACCCAGAAACCTTTTATCCATACTCAGAGACTTGAGTGCATGTGGCCTGCTGTTTTACTTTGGCTCGGCGATGCGTCCTCCCATTCACTCGTTCACTCTGCATAGTTCCCCCTGTGTGGTCCGCAGAGGCCGAGCAACCCAGCAACATCCAGCAGCATCTCTACCCTGAGGTACTCGACCTGCAATACTTGTAGCAGCAACAAACAATATGAACGTATATATATATATATATATGAACAATGCAAACAACACTGTAAGAGCAATACACGCAATAAGAACAGTCAGAATAGAAAGGAATCATAAGAACAACGCGAAGAGACAGGGAGAATCCAACAAGAAGCCAGCACAGGGGGGTGCCGAAGACCTAACCCTAAACCCTCAACCCTAAACGGACAGTATTATCATCCCTGCCTGCGGTTCGGCCAGCTATGCGGGAGCGAAGATAAACGGACAATCTCTCACTAGTACTGCCCTGACCCACAGCTGAGAATGGACAGGCCACCAGGAGCGCTGCATTTCCAGGTGGGGCATACTTTGGGACGTTCCCCCTTGCGACTAGGAGTCCTGACTGGGATGTAGTACCACCCTCATAAAATCCTAGCAGTCCTTAGTAGGGATTATAGTACCCCGTATTACAATAGTTACTAACAGTCCGTAATCGGGATTATAGTAGGGGTACCCTCCTCCAATACTAACAGTCCTTAATCTGGATTATGGTACCCCCTATGATAATCTCTATTAATGGCATACTGCTCTCGCATCCGTGTTAGTTTGCTGCTGTTCATTTGAATAGGCGTTGGCTTCCATGCTGCGGGACGTCAGGAAAGGCATCAGCCACACTGTAGGCTCTGAAACAAAGGGGAAATGAGTCACTCAGTCGCACCGAGGGTTCCGAAGAGTGTCAACCCTTGTGCCTCGGCCTTCTTTCAGGTATCGAAGCTTCTGCTGTGGCTGCCTATGCTGCGACCTCAGCGACTGAGGCATGGACAATATGTTCGCTGTAGCTACATCGGTCATCGGCCCCCACCCTCTTCCCCTTCGTCTCGATCTCTGTCCTTGGCGCTGCTTCCTTCTCTCCCTCTCCTTTCCATGTCTCTCTCTCTCTCCCTCTCTCTCTCTCTCTCTCTCTCTCTCTCTCTCTCTTTCTGCCTGCTCACATCTCTTCCTGCCACGCGCACATGCCGGCTTGCTGAAAGATGGGTACCGCGCAGGCTCAGGCATGTAATCGAGCTCCCCTCTCAGCTTTGCTAGCCCGCCTTGCACAAAGGTACGTGGCCAATTCAGGCCCTCCCGACAGAATCTGAAGTGGCTAAAGGAGCCTGGGCCCTGCACCATCCTCCGAGGTGGCGCAGCGAGCTGGCGGCTCTGGAGGCCAGTGAGGGTGTAAAGAGGCCAGTTGTCATATAGACGTAGCCATTAACACGTACCGGCATAAACCGTATGGCGCAAGTAACAAATCCATACCACGGAGCATCCGGGACACCGGAGGAAGAGCGTTGTGTTTGTGTTCGTGTTTGTGTTTGTGTGCAGCATTGCAGCGGCTGACCGGGCAACGCAATGTAGTGGCACAAGGATGTGGCACTTTTCATTCTGAGCAGGGGCGCCCCCGAGCAGCGGACCCATATTGTTCACGTCCGGCGCCCGTGAATTACGGGTTTGGGATGTTGATCTTCGGTGGCTCTCTTGGAGGGCCCCCAAGATTCAATTCCTTGGGGCTTGCAGATCACTTCTCAGGCTTGTTGAAACGTTCAAGTTTTAGGCCTTGGCATCCTGCGACCCAATTTTTTTGGAGTTGTGATGTCTGGGTACTTGCTTTGGTTCCTCCGCCTTCACCTGCCCTTAT